AAGCAGAGGTAGCAGAGGAGGAGAGAGGGAAGCAGAACAAGCAGAGGCAGCAGAGGAGGAGAGAGGGAAGCAGAACAAGCTCACTTGCACAGTTTGTCCTTGCAGGCTGCTCTGCGAGAACATTCCGAGTGTCACCCTCATTCATCGTCTCCTGAGAGCAAAGAACTCTCTCAGAGTGCCCCTTCAGGGGCAAATGGACAGAGCACCATCAGCACTATTGTCTGTGTAGCTAAGCTGATAAAATTTGGGGAGGGGGAATAGCAAATGTTATTCATGAAGATTTTAAATGCAAGCTACAAACCCCATGCTGCTCTGTGCCCATGACAAGTGAGGAACGAAAACATGCACTCTGTATCCTGTGTCCTGAGCTTGCAGCTAATGGTCTCCTAGAAGGAAGGGCTTTATTGCTCACTTAGCACCCTGTCATTAGATTGAGAACTACGCGGACCAGCACTGTATAAACAAGGTCCTGGGATCGCACAGGTAGACCAAGGCTTCCTACAGTTCTCTGTGCTCTTTTAGACGGAGGCCAAACACACTATTAGTCCTCACTGATGAGACAGGACAGAGGTAAGCACAGTCAGGAAGAACAAGAGTCAGAACTCAGTCCTTGTCGCCCTGTAACCCCACAGGTGGTCCCAATGAGTCATCCGATGCTTAGAGAAGACATGCAGCATCTGCAAGAGAGCACAGATGCTCTGATAGCTTGAAGCCATTTCATTGTGCTGACATTTAGTTCTACATCGTTTGCTGGAATGTTTATCCAACACAGGTCACCACACTGGAAGAGGAATGTGGACATGATCATGTCTGCCACACATATGAGGCTCTTTTACCTGGCAGACTTAGGCAAGCGGAAACTATGCTTCAGTGTCTCGGGAGAATGTGTGCCTACTCACCAGCCAGTGCACACACAGTCATTAATGCTAGTACATTTTCCTCTTGAGATCAGCAAAGACAGAATAGTGGAAAGCACATAACTACCTGCAGGTAAATGATGTGGAAACTGAAATGCAAGGGTGGCGTTCACAGATGCTTAGCTTCCTAAGGAGAAAACATTCATTTTCTTTCCAATTTGTAACAGAAATTTGAGCTTTATCAGTAGGTTGCTGCGAAAATCTTCTTTCCACACAGGAAATCTCACAACCAATTGTTTCCTCTACTTTTAAGCATCTTAATTGAGGGTGGGTTAGGGTAGTAAACAACCTTCTTACTTGAATATTTATTTATTTTTATTAATTAATTCAATTTACATCCAGCTCCCTCACTCCGCTTTCCAAGTCCCGCCTTCCCTCCTGCATCCCTTACCACCTATTCCTCAGACTAGGGGAGCCCACCTACCCAGACACCCCAGCTCATCTAGTCACATAAGGACTAAGTTCATCTTTCTCCCTTGTGGTCTGGTAGGGAAGTTCCATCGGGGGGAAGTGATCAAAAAGCAGGCAACATAGTCCCTGTCAGAGCTATCCCCCAGTCTCCTAACTAGTGGACTCACATGAAGCCTAAGACGCTCCACAGACTTATCCTCTTAGGGTGTTTGTACTGTGGATGTCTATCCTGTACTATGTGAGTAAATGTATTTAATTTATACAAACAAGAATATTTGTACTTGAAAAATGTTTCCTATCTAAGAAGCTGGTAATTCTGGAGGAAGACAGGCTGTTTTGTGGGGTTGACAGTTTGAGGCCATCACAATGAGTTTATTAGCCAAGGCTCCATGCATCCCTGGCGAGGCACATCCTCCTCCATGTACCAGGCAAGCCACATATATGGAATACCTGCTGCTTCACCGGCAGCATGTTGACTTGTTTATGGTCATTTCTATTCAGTTAGAAAATGTTAATGAGAGAATAAATATTAATTGACTAGTAACTCAAGTAATCTTTTTTTTTCTATTTCAAAGAGAAATGGCTTGAGTGGTAAGCTTTCAAAACTACTAGACATTTACCATTTGGTTTATCATTGGTAATTATCCAAATTTTCTTCTCTTCTTCTTTCTGTGTCAGGAAATGCTTTCATTCTCGATACCAGTGGGGTCATGGTTTTGTTTCATTAGATTTTATAGGATCATAGAACCTGGCTTTCTAAAGTCTAATTTTTATAATCCATTTCATCATACAAAGTTTAAACAACTATCACATACTAAATAGGCTAGCAGAACTCCCTGTAGGTGGATCAAAACTATGCCCATTTGTTCTAATTGTTTTCA